TGTGAACTCAATTGAAGTCTTTATTTCCAACACTCTGTGATGCAGAGATATTAATTTATAGCCATTTAATTTAGTTTTCAGAAATCTGCATTAAATTTGAGACTTGTATAATTCCTCACTACAATTTCTGTTAATTCAGACACAATAAATTAAGCTCAATCACCTCTTCTGTTCTGAGGAACTGTCATGTTGTACTCATTACATTAACTCACAAATGCTGCCAGACTTGCCAAGTTTTGTCAGCACTTTCCGTTCTTATTTCAGATTCTCTGCATCCACTGTTTTTTTTAATTTTTATTTTAGATTAAACATGTTGTTTTAGTTAATATACCAAGTATACAGTATATTTTATATTTTTCTTACCAAAACGCGATCAGCATCATTAACTCCATCAAGTGTATTTGTACAATGTTTTTCAATCATTTATCATACTTGCATTTACTTTTGTTACATGTATCTACAAATTTAGTTACATTTTCTCACAAATCAGAACGTCAGATTTACCATAATCTCATCAATCACATTTAATTCCTCCATTGTCACTCCTATAATTAGTAGTATTATTGCTAGACTATTAACCCAGAAATGCAGTTAATGTTATGGGGACCTGAGTTCAAATCCCACTATGACAGATAATGGAATGTGAATTCAGTAAAAGATACCTGGAATTAAGTATCTACTGATGACCACAAAACCATTATCGATTGTCGGAAAAACCCATCTGGCTCACTAATATCATTCAAGGAAGAAAATCTGTCATCTTCACTGGTGTAGCCTCATGTGAGTCCAGACCCACAATGGTGTGGTTGACTCTTAACTGCCCTCTGAAAAGGCCAAGCAAGCCACTCAGTTATACAAAGTCTCAAAGAAGTGAAACTGGATGGACTACATGACTTCGACCAAACATCTGACTAACATCTGGAGACTGGTGCCAAAGTTGGGACAGCTGTCCCACAGACTAGTCAAGGAACAACTTAACATAGATAGAAGCACAAATGGCCTGTTAATCTGCCATTCACTACACTCATGAATGAAATAAAAGCAAGATACTGCAGATGTTGAAAATCTGAAAGAAATCACGGAAAATGCTAGAGAAACTCAACAGGCCTGGTGGCATCTGTGGAGAGAAAAACAGGGTTAATGTCTTGAGTTTAATATCACTCTTCCTCGGAATTGTTAGAAGTACCATCATTAGAAAAGATACCCAAAGCATTGCTGGGAAAAAATTCTGATACTATTGACTGACACAAGTTTTAACAGGGCCTGCTTGTATCAATGGATATATGTCTGAATTTAAGTTTGACACAGGGTCAAGTGACACTATTCTATTAGATTGAATACCATATGGCTGAAGAAACAGGTTATAGCCTACACGGCTGAAACTTAGTGGTTCAAATGAAATAACTCTCAGCATTAAAGGTATGCTATAAATGACACTGTATAACAAAGAGCATAAGAACGTGGAAAATGCATGTATTTATGTTAATAACAGAACTAGCAAAGTTAGCAAGAAGATTCAGGTGAGGAGGAGGAGGAATGAGCAGTGCAACTCACAGGAGCTAATTGATAATTTTTTTACTGAGCGTTCTTTTACAGTAAAACAATATGATGAACAAGTTTATTCCAGCCAATTTGGCTTTGATGTATGATTATGAGGTGCCACAAGTTCAAAAGCAACATTTCAATCCCTGGGCTTCCACAAAAAAGATTGGTACCATAAACAGAATCGCTGATAAAGTAAGCAGAAATCCTCCAGCAATATGACAAAGCATGTGAAAGCTTTTGCTTCACCAGGAAGACATCCATAGAGGGTGCTTAAAGATGTCCAAACTGCTCAGCAAGTTTAGGTATAGCGTTTACATATTTCAACTTGCAGATATCAGCAGATTAAGAATGAAGATTTTCTTGCATGAAATGAAGATGAGATGCATATAGCTCTGTCCATGGATTTAGGGCACTTTTAAGAAGAAAATGCCTGGCTCAGAAATCCTAGAATAAAAGGAAACACTTGTTTCTACAGAGCTGACAGCTTCTATATATGGGCATTTATGAGGTTAAAGGCTCCCTAAATGGGTACCTGAATTAGCAGTGTAGAATTCTTTGGTAAAGAAAATTCAATGCATGAAGGATCCTCCAGAAAAGGTAATGGGCAAACTATTGGGTTTAGAAGGAACAACATCATGTGCAAAGGACAACCAAGATCCTCCAGTGGAGAAATTAACTAAAGACCATTAAAGGTTAGGAACAGAATCAAGAAAAATTGTGAAACTTCCCAAATCCCCCTTGAATTTAAAGAGTCAGAGACTTGAAGGGGAGGAGTGGCAGATTAATGGTTAATGGGAAATGTAAATTTAGTTATACACTTGAATGTGCAAATTTTAAGTATTTCAAAAAGTTTGGGAAATCTTTCATAGAAGACAATGGTTGTGAAAGGGTTAATGTCAAGATTGCGCTAAACTCCATCCAATCAGAGTCTTCAATTGGGCAAAGAAAATCCTATCTCAAGATCCTAATGAGAAAGTATGTCTCCAAATGTCTCTTTGATAGTCTTGGTCCTAGTTGACATGTTTACCTAATCAAGGCAATTTGTAATATGAGATAGTGATGGGGTTGGTGGCTGCAAACAGAAATGTGGAGTTAAGGCTGTAGTCATATTACCAATGGTTTTAATGAATGGCAGAGGAGGTTCAAGGAGCCAGATACTCACTCCTGTTTACTTGCACTCTTCATTCAGTAAAGAGATCTATCTACCTGATAAAAAATGTGTGCTAGTGACATGTTTTCTGCGGTTAGATAACATGTATATTTTTTGAGAGAGACTCCCATAAGAGACATGGCAGATATCAGTTAGAAATGCAGACAGATGAGAATTGATGGTTGCACACACAATTTAAACAAAACGTAGCCAAAAGAATAACAGCATCTATGTGTGTCATATGGTAAACATGACCAGAGAGGAGAGATAAAGAAAGAAGCACTATCTACGTTGATAAGGAAAAGCTGGACATATGGCTGGAAGAAGTAAGGAGAAGTAGAAGTTGATTGTTTGAAGTAAATAGAATTTGGTTTCATGATATCTATGCAGACTTTGATGCCATTCCCGCTACACAGGACTGTGTCTTTCATCTCACAGCAATAGTTACAAAATATATATACTCAAGGTCAGTTATCATGCTCCTTGTATGAAAAACCCAAAAGATTGTTAGACTTCGTCCTATTGTAGAAATAACACTGTCTGTTTGCTAAGAAAAAACAAAATAAAATACTGCAGATTTGGGAAACTTGAAATAAAAGTAGAAAATGCTGAAATAATCAGCACTAGGGTGGCATCTGGGGAGAGAAGCAGAGTTAATATTTTCAGATTGGTGACCAAATTGCACCCACAGGCAAGGGAATGAGTCTACAGGAGACTGACTTTCAAATGACCCTTAGCCCCTTCCCAATTCTTAAAATGAGGAAGAACCCAGGATGCTTGGAGATGTGGATTGGTGCTTGGGAAGTTGGAGGACCCTGTGGAAGCAGAAGATGTGCCACCTTATTTTGAGAGCAGACAGGTCTTTGGCTTAACATCTCATTCAAAGGACTGCATCTAGATCACAGGTCAAAAGCACTAGAGTGGGATCGAAGGATGAACTTGTTACTTCCTGCAAGGCTTACACACAGAATCACTTTGCAATACTGATTGCCAATGGAGAATGCACAGGCTAGACTGGTCAAAATGTGACCCCTTCTGCATGAACAAGCTATTATTGCTGCTTGTAGGTCCAGATTCTTTGTTACAAACTATGAATAAATGTGCCCAATGTTTTCAACTCTGAAAAAGACAGAATTGTTATATCCTTAACTCTTCAATCAGTTTGGCTGGGATTGTAATGGCTTCATGTGAGAGACTAATACAGGTTGCCCCTTGTCTCTCATTTGAACATACACTCATCACAATAATTAGGCACTGAGCTCTACTCACACCATTCCAATGGTGGCATCATGACAATGTTGTGATTACTGAATGAGTTATTATAATCAAGATTGTTTAATTAAAGTGGCAATGCTTCAGTAATCATAGCTCTTAGAAACAGTACTAAGTACTTCCAGCTAAACATGAATTGCAATCCAGAAAAATCAAGTTTATCACCAGCTCAACTCATGAACGGTAAAGTTGCTAATTTGATATTTAAAAAAGGCTGGTGTTGTGTACTTAAGTTCCAATGGGGCTTATTTTTTTCTGGATAATGTTCTTGCAAATATTGCACAGTGACTCAAATTCTGCTCATCTGAAACAAATCATCCAAAGTGTTCTGTTCAGGTGATAATTATTTTCTGAGTAATTGTGCCTTCTGTCTCCCCACATGCTTGTACTGACTCACTTTTAAGAGATTTTTTCAGAAACAAAAACTGAAGAGACTGATAAACAATGAAACTTATTTCTTGCCTTTAGCTGGTACTTTATACATTCAGGTATGATGTGTTGATTTTAATAGTTGATGTGGAGGTGTTCTAACAAACTTAAAAGTACATCAGTCAAATGGATAAATAAATAATCCATGTCATTTCGAGGGGAAACATTTCACTGCTAAGTCATGTTTTGAACTGGTTGCTCTTGCTCAATGGTTGTTCAGAATGTCTAAGACTTCCAAAAAGTTAATTTCAGACTCAGTTCTTGTTTAGATAAACTACACCCTTAGATAATTCATCGCTAGATGAAATTTCTCAAAGAGAAAAAGACAATGTCTTGAAATACAACTAGAATTAGTTCATGGCAATACAGGGCGTTCTGCTAATAACACCATAGTTGTGTTCCTGTGCAACATTGCATTATAGAGAATTGCACTACTGAAATAACAGAGCCTATGTGAAAAGCAGGGTTAGAGGCAAATCACCAAAAAAAATTACTCAAAATCATTCAAAAATCACTTAAAAGACTAATACAAAAGATAGCACCGTTTGAATAAATGTTTGATTCATATCTAATAATGAAATAAAAGTAAATTTAACAACCTTACTTTGAAAAAATGTCAAGATGACTAAATGGAGGAGGAGGGTTTGAAGTTGCTCAGTTGTTAATGCAGGGGCTGAGGTCGATGTCATCATCATCGCCTTCAGGTGCAGTTGTGGTTGCAGGGTTAGGGCGAAAAGTAATTAATCCAGAAGTGGATGGCTGTGGCTCATTGTCTTCTGACTGTTTCTTGGGGTTGGCTTAAAAAAGACATCCAATTTTTGCAGCTTTGCCCCTTTTCTTCTTTCATGAAGAAGCTGTTCAAAGGGTGCCAAATAAGATCTTATTGCACGAACTGCTACCTTGCTGCGTTCTGCATTGTAATCATTGTCCTCGAAGAGCAGCAACTGCTTCTCAATTACCCTCAGGATAGAAGACAAAACAGAAGTGGAAAGCTCTCATGATGCTGCATCCTGGACTTTATCTTCTTCATCTTCAGTTTCCACTTCCCCCTCAGTGACAAGTTGTTGTAGATCAGCTGTAGAGATGTCTTCACAATGGGACTCAAGCATCTTCAACATCCTTCTTCAAGTTCAACTTGCTTTGCAAGATCAACACAATGTTCTTTGATTCTTGGGAACTCCTCTGACGGATCAAAGCCTTTAAAATCTTTAAAAAAAATCTGGGAGAAGCTTCCTCCAATCTGCATGCAAGCAGTCCTTACTGACATCACCCCAGGCCTCCATGATAATGTCAATTACATTCTTGATGTTATATCTCTCCCAAAATTGAAGAATGCTGGACAAAGCCTGCAAGATGATCATATTATGTTTGCATCCTCCTCAGCGCACTGATGGAATTGTGTTATAGCCAACACAAGTTTGCGTTTTAGAAATATTGTTCCCCCATTCATCAATCGTGTTATAGCCAATTCAAGTTGACCGAACACACGTTATAGGAGAACCTCCTGTGGATATTTTGGGATGAAATTCAAGCATCGCGGTGAGTCGGCTGAGTAGTAAAATTTTGCCAAAAGGAAAATCAAGTAGTCGCCGATTTACCATTACTCATTTTAGTTCCTCACAAACGTTGTATTTTATTTCTTTGTTTCACAAATTTCTCAACAGCTAACTTCAACAGAAAGAACAAAGGAGTGAAAATTTCTCAGGTTACTGAAAATGCTTATGTTCAGTATTTCGACTACAACTCTAAACATTGCAAGTAATGACCAGAGGGATTAGTTTCCTATTACACTACCAACTTTGCAAAGACTGGATCCTTTTTGTTTTTGGTAGCTATGGACTGCAAAAAAAAAATATTGCTTTAAACCAAGGAAGCTGTATAAAGACAGAAATTAGAGTCATAGTCATAGTCATAGAGCTATACAGCATAGAAATAGAACCTTCAATCTAACTTGGCCATGCCAACCAGATACCCTAAATTAATCTAGTCCCATTTGTCACTATTTGGCTTATATTCACTCTAAACCCTTTCTATCCATATACCCATCCAGGTGCCTTTTAAATGTTGCAATTGTACTAGCCTCCACCACTTCTTCTGGCATCTCATTCCATACATGCACCACCCTCTGCAAGAAAACATCGCTCCTTAGGTCACTTTTAAATCTATTCCCTCTCATCTTAAACCTATACCTTCTATTTTTGGACACTGCTACCCTGGGGAAAAGAGCTTGGCTATTCACCTTATCTTTGCCTCTCTTGATTGCTGGAGAAACTTGGCATTTGTGGAGATAAAGCAGAGTTAACATTTCAAGTTTGATGACCAGTGGAATTCTGAAGAAGGTTAACTGGACTCAATTTTTAACTCTTGTTTCTCTCTCCCCAGAAGATGCCAGACCTGCTGAGTTTCTCCTGCAATTTCTGTTTTTGTTTCAGATTTTCAGTACCTGCAGCTCATTATTTTGTTAAATGGTGCAAAATGATGTTCATATTCATATTAACTGGAGCACATTGTGAATTATATACAATGATGCATTTTTTTCCAGAATAATCTCAGCAAATACCACAAAGCCAATGTGTTCTGATCTGAGAGAAAATTGCTTGACCACAACATTCTGTTTTAACTCTTAACCTGGTGATCATGGCTTATGTGGCAGTATAATAAAGAACTACACAGCCTGCAAAGAGAAAGCCCCAAAACAAATCTGTGTCTCTTGTCTGTGTGGAGGTATTTGAAAGTCACTAGTAAAAGCCAGCTGTCTGCCACGCAGTTTTTTTCTCTTCAAACCCCCTATTGGAGATGATTAAAGTTCTTTAAAGATGGGGGAGGGATGATTTCTCAATCAGCATGGATGTGCAAATAACCAGTGTCAATAGCAAAGAATTAAAAAGGAATTGAAGCGAAGAGAAATAAATAATTTCAGTGAATATTGTGGTCCAGACTGGAGCTATCAAACTGAGTTTCCCCCATCTGATTTAAAAGTGAGTCAGAAACATGTTGCAAAGTGTGATTCAATTCTCCCTGCCATGGCTAATTAATTGATAGTGGGCGGGGACACAATCCAAGTAAGATCAACAGGTGGGCTCTGGAAGCTGGGGAGGTCAGCCAGAGGTTTTCCAAGTTGAAAGGAGCAGCGGCTTGCCATAGGTAATGAGAGAGAAGGTGCTATAAAATTTCAGACGTGAACTAAAAAATGCATTTTGCAGCCTGATAACTGTTCTGTATTGCTGGACTTTGCATGGTGGGGATTTTTGGAGAGGTGGAGGAGTTGGAGTAGCCCCCAGTAGGAAAACCTGTAGCTATTCCAGAGCCCAAGCAGGTTGGGTTGCCTGGAGTAGCTAACCAGGAAACTCTCCTACTGCTACCTCCAGTCATCAGGCGTATTGGAAGGATTTACATGGTGATGATCAACTTCTCTTTTGATTTGACGTTTTTTTTATTATTGTCATCTGTATACCTCGGTATAGTGAAAAGTTTTGTTTTGCATGCAGTACAGGCAGATCATACTATACAAAGTACATTGGAATATAGAACAGAGCAATGAATACAATGTCACATCTGCAGAGTGCGTGCACAGAGAATGAGATGAACATTAAATTTAAAATTTGGGACGTCTATTCAGAAGGGGATGCTGTTCTTGAATCTTTTTGTACATGTATACCAACTTTTACATCTTCTGCCCAACAGAAGAAGGTGGAAGAGAGTATAACCAGGGTGGGAGGAATCTTTCATTATGTTGGTTGCTTTCCCAAGGCAGCAGGAAGTGTAGATGGAGTCAATGGATGGAAGGCTGGTTTACATGATGGACTGGGCTGTGTTCACAATTCTGTAGTTTCTTGTGGTCTTGGGCAGAGCAGTTGCCAAACGATGTTCTGTTGCATCCAGATAGAATGCTTTGTATTGTGCATCTCTGAAAATTGGTAACAGTCCTTGTGGACATGCCAAATTTCCTTAGCCTCCTGAGGAAGTAGAGACGCTGTTGTTCTTTCTTCCAATTATAACACCACTACACCACCATCTCCCCTACATTAAACAAGCATTATTCTTGAAGCTTACTGCATTTGACATCATCTTAATCTTACCACGAATGGCCATGTTGTCATTGGATGTCCTTTAAACTTTTGGAAGCAGGTTTTCACAGACTTAAGATGACTTTGTGGATCTTTAGGACTGATGGGCAGGACTCGGACATGGTATCCCATTCTCATTTCCATTAACTTGAATTTTTCTAGCAAGGGAAGTGAAAGGCCATGATATACATTGGTGAGAAACCAGAATGCATCAGGGCTATTGATTTTACTGCTAAGGTCAAAGACACTCTACTTTTTGGCCATTGTAAGGGCCTATTTCCCAGTCTAGGATTTACTCGTTTAAAGAGTTGACGTAAACACTGTTAAAGGGTACGTTAAGTTTTAAGTGTCACATTTGAAGTTTTTTTTAAAAAATCCTTCACTGCTTAAGCATTAAAAGAAATGCAAAAGCTGTCAATGAGACTTAAAAAGAAATATTTGCTGAACTAGTGTGGTAACTGATACGTAATTTGGGAAGGCAAAAAACAATGTGGTCATGTAGTTCCAATAGAGTTCTTTACTAACGTTTAGCCAAGTGTTCCTATGATTATGATGATGCTAATGATGATGATGATGATATTATGAATGGTTGGCCAAGTTTCAAAAGTTAGATTTATCTCAAGTAGCCTCTGAGTTCCCAGTTTTACTAACTATTTAAAGATACTATTAAAGGATTAGCTGTCTTGGATACTACATCAAAGCTGTTTGTTTTTAAAGGAGATCAGCCATTTGAGGAGATTTGAAAGCATTGAATTAGTCTCACAAATGTTTTTCACTGTCATGTATGGATGACTGACAGCTGTAACATATTGTTTATTTTTCCATCTCCACATAACCCCTCTACTCTACCCTTGCCTTGATGAATACTGGATGAGTGGCTATGAAAGTAGCATGTGAGATATGAGAGGGCATCAGGGTGGGTTATGATTTGAGGGATCATTAGGGGCATTCGTGATGAGGACTATAGGTCTGAAATGATTGTAAATCAATTTGGATGAAGTCTCAAAAACTGAGGTAGGCCTCCTAACCAGCTTTGTCCAATTCTCTGGCTGTCTACAATCTGGGTCTAGATTTGGTAAGCCTGAATTTATCCTGCTCCTGCATCCTTGAATTAAAATTTGAGTCTAATGGGGCCCATTAAACAAGATGGGTCTGCTGATTCAAGAAATCGTCTGACTTGATCTACTCACCTTGAGAGAGAGAGAGAGAGGCATACAGAGAATCTGAAGGAGCACAGCCAGTTCAGCTAAACGGCTTGCTTTTGTGTTGTATAATTTTACATTTAATAAAAGTAAATTCTAAAATAATAGAAAACAGTAAGAATGTTCAAATTTATGTTAAGCTAATTTTCAATGGATTATTCATGCTGTTTACTGCTTACAATTGCATTTTAATGTCATAAACATTTTCCCAACCTCATTTAATTCCCTAAAACAATGCAGCATAGGTATTTGCATTTGTTCCTGTCATTTGCTACTGCTCGCTTCTTAAGGTGTCCAGGAGTACATTGAACATATGACAAGATTACCACCAAAATAACGACTTCACAAAGATTCAACAGCTGTTCAAGGTGGCACTGCTGCATGTCACAGCCATTTAATCTGTATAAGGAGTCTCTGAGCTAAATCACTAATGAAACCAATTG